TTCCCTTTGGGAGTGTCCAAACCGTGATTACGCCATGATGCTCACTCTGATAAACTGTGAGTGGTACATTTGGGCCAGAAGGAGAATACATCTATGTGGTATGTTGCACCACATAAAACAGATCCGCAGCACACTGTGATAATGAGAAAAAAAAAAATGAAATCATGATTTTTCGATTAAAACAGCAACTTTGCAGTTTTTTTTCGTATGTTTTTTATAGTTGTATTGCGATTTCTTGGTCTCATTTGATAGAATGGAAGACATATTAAAAAAATTTAGAGATGATTTTCATTGGTTTTAGCACTGGAAATGGCTTGAAACTGAGCTCAAAGTAGTGGAAATGTTAAATTTTTGCCGATATTCAAGAGTAAACAAACGACCTCACACATCTAATACACGCCACCTGGTGGGTCTAATATACTTTCCCACAAATTGGTGAGATATTTATAAAATTTTATTACAGTATTGCATAACAGTAAATCTTCTATTTTTGGTGTAATAAAAATTCATTATGTGAATAAAAAATCAAAATGGAATTTATTTGTAAAGCCTCAAAACATAACTAATGAACAGAGGAAATGTTAGTTTAGTGCCAGGAATGCCTACATTGTTTATTCTGGACCCTATTTTGAAATTGGAATATTTTTAACTTTGTGTTAAATTGGCCAAATTAACAATTTCCGATCACTTTATTTTGTAGTTGAAACAGTTGACTTGGCGATTTCTTGTGCTCAATCGATAGAATAGAAGTAATACTAGTGAAATAGCTAAGAATTTGGTAGATTGGAATAATGTAATTGGCCTAAAATGGGAGTCAAAGTCGGCAAAATCGCCGATTCGTAAACATTGCTGACACATCAAAATTCGCGAGAGCATAATTTCGTCAATTTTCCACCAAATTTTCGTACTTTTTGTTTTATTACCTTCACAAAAAGATTCTCAGTATAAAACAAAGTAAATAGTCTTAAGCTAAACAATAGCACCTGAATTATTTAACAAATGTAAAATAATGAGCTAAGGTAGTTTTTTTTTTTTAAGCTAAAATAAAGGAGACAATATAAAAGGGACTAATACAAATAAAGTGATGATCAAATAATGGAACTTGGGAATATGATAGTAGGTAGTACTATAAAGGTAATTCTTTAAAGTTAGAATTATAGTATAAAGTTATAATATAAAAGGGACTAATATAAGTTGTGGTGAACAATAAAGTGGTAATCAAATAAATGAGCTTTGGAATATAATGGCAAAATTGTGAACTTATTCTACTTTAGCACCTGAGAATAGCACCTTGATTATTTTAAACAATTGTGAATAATAAAACAGGGTAGTTATATAAAGCTAAAATAAAGGAGAAAAAAATATAAGGGACAAAATTAGTAATGGTAAACAAAGTTAAATGGACAGATGGTCACTATGAAATAATATTGGTTTAGGAGTAAGATCTGATTTGTAATATTAAATAAATTGAGCAGTTTATTGCACAATAAAAGTAAAAAAATGAGGTAGTTGGTACTAGCTAGTAAGATAGTTTTGGTACTTGCAAAAAAGTAATTGGAATATACACTAATTGCATACACAATGAAAAGTGACTAAAAAACAAGTAGTGATAAACAAAATTAAATGGACAGGTAAGAATAGTGAATATTATTAATTAATTTTTAAATTTAAAATATTTTTTAATTATAACACAGATATGCTCTACCTAATTTAAGATGAACATAGAATTACAAAATGGATAACAGGCTAGGTAAGAACAAATGCACTCTTGCATATTAAGCCTTCAGCAAATGGGACCAATAAAATAAGTGCAAATACCTACAAATGTTTATGCAACATGGGTGGTCCAAATTATAATAATAAAAAAAAAGACTAAAAAGTAATCCCAAACAAGTTATTGTGCAAAATATCAGAACATTAAATTTTAAAACAATCGTTAAATTGTAAATAAAAATAAAAAGCTAGATTCATTTACCAGAGATTACCTAAATCTTACCTATTTTGATCACAACCATCAGATGATTTCTGACCAGCACTGATGTTTAGTTGATGCTGAACAGGACCCAAAGGTATGTTGGTGCCCATCCCAACAACTGAAGGCTGAGAGGAGTGGCTAGGAGGGGAATTATCACAGAATGCTTTACCATTCTTCCAAGAATAGGCAGGACCCAAAGGTATGTTGGTGCCCATCCCAACAACTGAAGGCTGAGAGGAGTGGCTAGGAGGGGAATTATCACAGAATGTTTTACTATTCTTCCAAGAATAGGCAGTGGTGGTTTTAGAAGAGCTTACTCTTCCAAAAGTTCTTTGGCCAATATGATTATTTGACACTGTATAAACAGCGTAAGGGTTGCACATGCTTTCTCGTGAATCAGAAACAGCGACTCTTTCAGTCACAGAATCATTTGACCCAACTACCTTCTGCCCATTGGTGTAGGTCCCTGTGGACATGTGATGAAATCCACCATTAACATTAGTAATGAGGTTTGGTGGAGCTGAACTCTGATTGCAACTTTGTGCCACTGGTAATACTGTAATGACTGTGGATGAATTATGTTGGTTAGATATTCCAGTCCTGGTTATAATCTTGATCACTTGCATGCTCTTTGATGCATTGGGAGTATGTGGGGTACCATGAGAGCTAGACTGAAGACCAGACTGTGGTGAGCATCTGTCTGTCACCATCACTTTAGGGGAAGCCTTAAAATTCTGGCTATTGGAACAAAATTTATTTTGCCAGGTTCCTGTTGAAAAGATGATTTTTCTTGCATCATGCTCAGACACTTTACATCCCTGTTAAAGAAAAACAACATTCTTTATATTTTTTCTTACTAATCTTTAAGATCACATTAGCAATTTTTGTTTTTAACACCAGTTGTCTTCCACTGAGGAAGGGTAACCTGAAAAAGAAGAAACATTTAGTAATTTATACAGGAGAATGGGTTACTAGCTCCCATCATTTTAGTCACCTCTTCCAACATGCCTGGCTTATGGAGGAAAGATTATTCTCTACCTTCCCATGGAAGCTCAGCAATGTACAGTGGACCCCCGCATAATGATTACCTCCGAATGTGACCAATTATGTAAGTGTATTTATGTAAGTGCGTTTGTACGTGTATGTTTGGGGGTCTGAAATGGACTAATCTACTTCAGAATATTCCTTATGGGAACAAATTCGGTCAGTACTGGCACCTGAACATACTTCTGGAGTGAAAAAATATCGTTAACCGGGGGTCCACTGTATTTAAAATGTTAAAAACTTAATACCATCACAAATACATTATTATTGTATTGTCAAAAAATACACTAAGCCATAAACATTCATTGTACATAACGCTTAACATTCTTTTCAAACAGAAAAACAATACAAACCTTATACTGATTCAAAGATGAAAAAAATTGTTTGATAACAGGACACACATGCAACTAATGTGACATTTTATTGTGACAACGTTTTGCTCTCCTGCCACAATAAAATGTCACAACGTTTTGCTCTCCTGCCACAATAAAATGTCACATGAATTGCATTTGTGTCCCTTTACCTAACATTTGTGTCCCTTTACCTAACATTTGTGTCCCTTTACCTAACATTTGTGTCCCTTTACCTAACATTTGTGTTGTCACCTTTACCTAACATTTGTGTCCCTTTACCTAACATTTGTGTCCCTTTACCTAACATTTGTGTCCCTTTACCTAACATTTGTGTCCCTTTACCTAACATTTGTGTCCCTTTACCTAACATTTTGTCCATAATTCTACCATTATTACACACACACAAAAAAATGATTTATTGCTTTACAATGAGAAGAGATGGGAATATGATGCTGAGCATCTTGCCCGGTCACACCTGACTGCTTTGTCAATTCCTGTTCAATTTCAGGTTGTGCTGAAATTTGACCCTTGTTTTGGAAGTGCCACAAGTGCCCTGGAAAGTGAGGGCTGCAGGTATTTTGGTGCGTGACGTAAGACAGCGCTGGAGGGAGGTAACCAAGGCATCTCGGGAGCTCAATGCTTCTGATCCACTTTTTGTTGCTGCCTTCTTCGTCTGCAATAAAATTGGACCGAAATGCTAATATTTATTATACTTACCAGTAATCATACATCACCATCTACAGCAAATAAGCTTCCCACAGCTATGTCCTCCCATCTGCAGCATAGTAACCCATGTATTAAAGTCATCGGGTTTTTAAATAAGAAAAATGTACAGTGGAACCTCGGCTTACGAATGCCCCACCATGCTATTTTTTCAAGATACGAAGTCACTCAATCGATTTTTTTGCTTCTGGATACGAACGAAATTTCAGGATGCGAACTTCTCCCTCAAGGGAGGTTCCTTAGTGAGGGGCTCTTGATCAAGGGAATTGGATCTGTGCTCCACTTCCCTAAATTAATAATTATATATTATTATTATTATTATTGTAATACATACATACTAACAATAATAATAATAATAATACACTGCAGCAGGCCTGTTGGCCATACTAGGCAGGTCCTTCACAATCCATCCCACTAACAGAATATTTGCCCAACTCAATTTTCAATGCTACCCAAGCAATAAGCTTTGATAATTCTATTTACTCATGTCCAAGTCCCACTCAAATCCAACCCCTCTCACTCATGTATTTTATCCAATCTAAATTTGAAACTACCCAAGGTTTTAACTTTGCTAGAACCTTGGGTAGCTTTAAAAAGAGATTGGACAAATATATGAGTGGGAGGGGCTGGGTATGATTGGTGTCGTGGGTACATAATAACATAAGAAAGGAGGAAGACTGCAGTAGGCCTGTTGGCCCATACTAGGCAGGTCCTTCACAGATCCAACCCACTAAAAGAATAAACGTACCCAAGCAATAAGCATTGACAATTCTATTTACTCATCTTGACTGTGTGCTAATGGAGTTACAGGAAGCTGACATCAAAGAAATGCTGAACACTGACAATGATGCACCTGTTGTGCATTCCTTGAGTGATGCTGAAATGAGATGAACTGTGATATATAAATAAGCTGTAGAGTTGATATTAGGATCATATTAAAGTATTTTGTCATGCCTCCTGAGAGCAGGAATTCCACTGGAACGGATTAATGGCATTTCAATTAATTTAAATGAGGAATATTGACTCAGCATACGAACAAATCGGGATACGAACAAGGTCACGGAATGGATTAAATTTGTAAGCCGAGGTTCCACTGTATTTATAAATAAGAAATATTGTATACTCCACCCACCACCTTCACTACTCCACCCACCACCCTTACTACTCCACCTACCATCTCTACTCTACCCACCACCTTCTACTACCTACAATCTCTACTCAACCACCACCTTCACTACTCCACCCACCACTATCACTATTCTGCCCACCACTATCACTATTCCACCCACCCACCATCACTATTCCACCCACCACCATCACTATTCCACCCACACCACATCACTCCCACCCACCATCACTACTCCACCCACCATCATTACTCCACCCACCACTATCACTACTCCACCCACCACTATCACTACTCCACCCACCACTATCACTACTCCACCCACCACCATTACTACTCTCTACCCACCACTATGACTACTCCACCCACCACTAATCATTACTCCACCCACCACTATTACTACTCCACCCACCACTATCACCACTCCACCCACCACTATCACCACTCCACCCACCACTGTTACTACTCTACCCACCACCATGACTACTCCACCCACCACTATCACTACTCCACCATCACCATGACTACTCCACCCACCACCATTACTACTCCACCGACCACCATGACTACTCCGCCTACCACTATCAGTACTTCACCCACCTTAACCCTTTCAGGGTTTCCGACGTACTAGTATGGCTTACGCACCAGGGTTATTGACGTACTAGAACGCCTAAATTCTAGCGCCTTTAAATCTAGTGAGAGAAAGCTAGTAGGCCTACATATGAAAGAATGGGTCTATGTGGTCAGTGTGCACAGTATAAAAAACCCTGCAGCACACAGTGCATAATGAAAGAAAAAACTCCGACTGTATTTTTGGTTTAAAACAGCGACTTTGCAGTGTATTTTTGTATGGTATTTATGGTTGTATTTTAGTTTTCCTGGTCTCATTTTATAGAATGGAAGACATATTACAGAAACTGAGATATTTTGATTGGTTTCATAATGAAAAGTACCTTGAAATTGAGCTTAAAGTAGCAGAAATGTTCGATTTTTACAAAATTTCGAAAGTAAACAAATCATACCAAGCGTCCAATACACGTCAACTGGTGAATCTAATATTCTTTCACAAGTGCACCGATATTATTTATACCATTTCTACACTAATGCAGTAGTCTGCATAACAGAAAATCTTCTATTTTTTGTGAGAATAAAAATTCAAAGGGGAAAGCAAAAGAGATGTAAGAGGGGCCTGGGGACATGACTAATGAACAGAGAAAATGTTATTTTAGTGCCAGGAATGTCTGTCTTACTTATTCTGGACCCTATCTGGAAATTGGCATCTTCTGAAATTTGTGTGAAACTGGCAAAATTGCCAATTTCTGACAACTTTATTGGATACTTGAAATCGGTAAATGGATGGTTTCTTGTACTCATTCAATAGAAAAAATGGAGTTCTAGCGAAATAGATAAGATTTTTGTCGACTAGTACACTGAAACTGGCCAAAAATAGGGTTCAATTTGGGCGAAATCGCCGATGCGTAAACATCGTTGAGATCGCTAACTTCGCGAGAGCATAATTCTGTACATTTTCCATCAAATTTCATACTTTTGGTGTCATTATGATTGGAAAAAGGTTCTCTATCATTTCATAAGAAAAAAAAAAAAAAATTTCCAAAAAAATTTTCGACCCTGAGAACGAGTTTAGGAGAGGGCCTCTTGACCCTGAAAGGGTTAATTAATGTTACTGGAAAAACTCCAAGTGATGAAATGAAGGTTACCTCTTCCCCGGATTTATACGAGAACCAAACAAGGGACGAGGTGCCTCTCTACAATCTGGGATTAGTGTGGGAGTATTATCCTTCCAGTTATGTCTTGGAAGAGCATGTGGGATGGGATGAAGTACCTGACATTCCTCTGGGTACAAAGCTGGATTTGACTTCAGATGCGCTGCCAATTAGTGGCATATCTGAAGCATGCTCACAACTCAGATTTTGGCTTGCAACTCGAAGCAAAAAATCGACTGAGCGACAACTCGTAACTTGGAAAACTTGTAAGTTGGGGCACTCTTAAGCCATGGTACCACTGTACTTCCCACCTCCAGGATTAAAGTCCAGCTAATTGGACTCCCTGAATCCCTTCATAAATGTTACCTTTCTCTCACTCTAATAGCACGTCTAGTCCCAAAAACCATTTGCCTACACTTACTTGTATCTAACATGCACATGCACACACACACACCTGCTGGAAAACCAAACGAAACCTTTACCCCCACCTCACCTTCCCTCCACCATAGATCTACACATGATAAGCATTTACATGATTAAAAGTATATTTATTTTGTAAATACAGTATTATACAAAAAAAATTAAGTGTGGCCCAGCTGCTTCAAGGTGTTGGATAAGTGAGCCATGTTTTTTCATAGCTTTCTTAAAGCAAAAGGAATTGTTGCGAAGGTGAACAGATGTTCTACCTATACATAACACAAATTAAAAATTCATTTTCACTAGTTTTTATACCTACTCTTTCCTTCACGAAAGCTCAAAAGTAGTGCCCAGTTACCGCACCTTAGAAACTTTTTCAAGTGATGACATGTAAGAACTGGGGTTGAGAATCATTTCCCTATTCGAGTGTGATTGCTGCAGCTGCTCCTCTTGTATCAGCTTCTCTAGCTCCACCTCTGCTACCTGTTCAAAATTAAACAAGAGGAAACAGAAATGAGGGGAAAAAATAAAAAATCCATAATGAAATTTTTATATATCAATTTCAAAACATAAAAATTAAATATTTATTAATTTATAAATTTACGAGAAACAACAGTATCTTAATAATAAAAAATTACAAAATGTATGACACAAACTTTACCTTCACATGTAATACTATACATGTTTATTTATTTATTTATTAACAATTTGAGCACACATACAGAGTACAAAAAAATACAGAAAAACACTGCCCAAACCACTTTTTCATGCATAGCATTAAGGGGGTGGCCTTTAAATTT